TCTAGCATACGGGTTACGATATGTAATTTTAATTTGCATGATTTTCAAGAAATATTTAAATATGCACATACATATGTGATATTTACATTTTTAATAAACGATACACACGTAATAAATTGAAAACTTTAATTATTCAATTCCTTTAAATTCAAGGCATACTCAGTACCTGTAAAATTGAAGAAATAAAAATTCTTTTTGTTATTTAATTTATATTAATTTTTAAATAGTGTATTCTGTACCAAAAATCGTATAAACTGTAGTTTCAAACTTTACAATACTGTATTATTACTGTACAATATTAAAAAAAAAACTCAAAAAACTCTCGTAAAACTTCGAGTTTTTATCAGAATAATAAAATAAATTAAGTATGCACTTTTGTAGCCCCTTAAATTTTTTTAATTTTACTTTTTATGTTTTACGAACAACGCCAACTAGACGTCGTCAAATTAGCGACCTTTGTTATCGTTAACGACAACAGCTGATTTGGCGCTAACGAATGTCGTTAATCTAATCTAAGAATATGAGCGTACATAAAATATGATGAATCAACAAAATGTTGTGAGGGATACGTTTACTGAATAGCTAAATTATTAAAATTGTCGTTTAGCTGACTTAACAATAACAAGAGTTGTTAAAATCGCGTAGTCACTGGTCACCATAGTTATAACGCAAACCCACATATCTGAACAATCAGTTGTATGGGAGCTATTAGTGAACCGATTTCCATTATTTTCATAAATAGTTAAGGTAATATCAATAGGCAATCACTTGCAAAATTTTAGAAAAAAACAGAACAGTTAAAATTTTGCAATTTTTGAATTGAATTTAAAAGGTCCCAGTTAAGGAAGATCATCTATCAAAACCTTTCCCCAGAAAATGGTTCAAAACCGGGGCACAGTGTTACACTGAGTCAAAAACACAATGGTTTTTTCAACCAAGGTATGGTTTGATTTTTCATGGTTAATAAGCCGATTGTAAGAAATGTGATTCAAGTTGAACATTTGAGAACAACTTCGTATATAAGGCAGTGGCTGAACGTGCAGAGGTGCTTGCTGTTATTTGTTGGCTTCCAGCAGTACGAATGCCGTCAGCGCGATGCAAAATAATTTTAAGTTTCTTCTGTTCTTGGTTTTTCTTTATCACGAAAAAGCATCTGTTAAGTGCAGAGCTAAATTAAACGACGAAGAAAATTTATTTAAGTTGAACATTTAAAGACAAATTTATAAAGCGGCTATAGCTGAGTGTGCAGAGATGCTTGCTGTTACTTGTTAATCCCGTCAGAGGCAACGTGTTAATATGGTTATAAACTCTGTTGTTTTGTATCTCCGAATTATGAAAAAGCACCTGTGAAGTGCAGAGCATAAACGTATTGAAACGAAAAAATCGTCCACCAAAAGTTTGGTTAATGTAAACAAAAGTGTGGTTAATATAACCAAATAATTGTTGAAAACATCAACCAAGGCATTGTTAATATTAACCAAAACTCACACTGATTCCTTTTCAAGTTTGAATTTGGTAACATTAAGCACTTTTTGGTTGATTTTTTGCTCAGTGTGTAAACTTCCGTCCTAAATATCTCAAAATTTTTACGTGATAAAGATTTTCTGAAAACGACATCGTAATCTAGAGGCCAAAATTAAGTTTACGTGTATAGTCGTTTAACTCTGATATTTCAAAACGGTAAAATTTACCTACAGTGTAATTAATACATAATTAATTTTTATTAACACTTGCCTGCACTCCTTTTCGCAATCTGCGCTTCAATTAATAGGGTTTTTATTCAAGTATTTTATTTAATTTATTTTTCTTTTCATTTCAGGAAGCATATAAAAATTCCAATGTTTGCCAACGGAAATGTCCTTGG